CAATTATAGAAGTAATCTCATTGAGGGTAGCACAATGGGTAAAAACAATGAATCTTTTTGAAGATGTTTCAATAGAGACCATCATGAAAAATTGGCAGGAGATAGCAGTCTCGGTTCCCAGTAGACTGAATATCCTTCAGATGTGGATCCCTCCGATGGAAGGCTTTTTCAAACTCAGTTACTCAACTTTGATGGGAGCAGTTATGGAAACCCAGGGCCATCAGGGGTTGGTGGTGTGTTCAGAACAGAGGCAGGTCCAGTTATAGCCCTTTTCACTGGACCAGTTGGAGTTGGAGACTCTTTGAGATCAGAGATTCAGGCCCTCCTAGAGGGGGTAAAAAGGACTAAGGAGTTGAATATAAATAAGCTGATTATTGAAGGCGATTCACAAGTGGTAATTGGGTGGATAGAGAAGGCAAACAACGGGTTATGGGCATATATTAATGAAAAAAGGCATTTCAAGTGGCTAACCCAAGGAATGGATGTGCGTATCTGGTGGGTTAAAAGGTGTGCTAATTCATTTGTAGATGCTTTGGCCAAACAGGGGGTGGGAAGAAGTCATTTGTTTTGGGCTACTATGTAATCTTTTTGTTGGGGGGGTGGTAAGAGGGTTTACCTCCCCCCACATTTGTATTTTATTTTTCTTATAATCTAATGAAAGTTTCCTGTTACTGATAAAAAAAAAGTGTAGGCGCAAGTACTCTGATGGATAATGTCATAAGAACTTAGATAGATGTTTCTTGCAGTACTTTTAGCATTGTTAGAATGGAAAACTTTATCACTAAATTGAGTTAACCATTTGATGGAATTGCTAAAACAACCAAGGACTCTTTAGTATTGTTAGAATGGAAAACTGACTTTAATACTAAATTGAGTCAACCATTTGATGGAATTGCTAAACCAACCAAGTTCAAAAATGCCTGGTCTCCAAACATCAGTGTGAACAAGAGTAAAAGGATAATCACTTTTTTTATTACTTGAAATACGAGTGTTTCTACAATTTTTGGGTAATTGACAACTTTCACACTTGACACTAGATGACAAACGGATTGAAATAAAGAGAGAAACACTAATTTCAAAGAATGAGAAGACAAACTGCCAAGTCAAATAAGCCAAAGCATTATCTGATCTACAGACTTTGAAGATGCATTATGACCCTAGTGAATGAAATGATTTTGATTAGGCAAAAGTGATCCAGCATCTAGAAGATAAGCATCACCCACTTCACAGTCACTCCCAAACACTTGCTTGGAAGCAATGTCTTGAAAAATAAAACAACCAGGGTAAAAGGTTACTAAACACTTCAGAGTTCTAGTAATACTACACTGAAAGTAGCGGCAACAATCAGCTCAAAGCTCGTTGATTGGGTTTTTATTTTTCCAGAATTTATAGGCAGTAGAAAAAAGAAGATTTTGGTTCAAATTTCTAGTCTAGTTTGTCAGTTTAATTTTGAACGTGTTTTGAGATTTGTTTGTTTTAGTATGGTTATATTGTAGTTTCTCTTTTGTATTGCTGGGTGGTGAAATCTTGTCAACCAAGACACTTGTATCGTTTAATCATTAATAAGGTTTCATTTTTATAAATCTTCAAAAAAAGAGAATACTACTAACTGAAAGTAGATTTGTACAAGCTTAGGAACATGCAAGGCAGATGATAAGCTCAACCGGTCAGTACAGTTACTCTTATTTCACCCTTCCCAGAAACAAGAGCAATAGACCCATCAGCTGTAGAAACTTTTCCCTCCCCGAAGACAAAGAATAAGTATTAAATAAAGAGGAAATACTAGTCATATGGTCTGATGCACCTGAATCCATAATCCAAGAAATGGACCTACCATAGTGGCAACATAAGGGGAAACTTGAGTACTTATACTGTATTTGTCAATCTCAGCCTTAACTACAACCAGAGACTTCATAGAGGAAGGAGGAATACGAGGAAGAGGACCATTAGCAACTGGATTTGCAGTAGATGAGGCTGTGTTTACACTCCCCTTCTTATTCGCCTTCTCAAATCTAGCTGGAATTGAGTGAGGATGCAACTTCCAACAATTGTCACATCTATGCTTACGCTTCTTACAGTAACCACATACACTCGCTTCCATAGTGGTTGAGTTATTCCCCTTACTCTGAGATACCTTAGCTCTAGATGTGACCAAAGCAAGTGTGATCAAGAGCATATATCTGTACCATAACCTTCTTTCTAGTCTCCTCACTATTTACAAGTGAATTTACCTGTGAGTGTGAGATGTCTTTCTTGGTGAGAATTTGCTAATGAGTAATATTTATATTCTCTATTCAAACCTGTTTAGAATTCAAAATCCCTGTTCCTCTAAACAAACTTCCTGTATAAAATAAAACAGCATAAAGAGACAGCTACCACTAATAATAAAAGGCTCATGGGAACTGATGGAAACCACACTCAATTTTTACTTTTTTCTAATGACAAGTAAAATTACAAGAAGTCCCCCTGTAAGTCAGCTACCACTAATAATAAAATAAAACAGCATTAAGAGGCTCACTATGCCTACTAAGAAACAAAGAATAAAAAAAGAGAGAATAAAAAGGGACCAACAACTAGTAGCTTTGGTCTACAAGTATGTCATCAGAGATAAAACATTTGCTTTTATCTTATACTAGTTTCCTACCAGTCTGATTGGCCTGAAATGTCCATTGTCATTTTGATGTGTACATTTACTTTCTTTTGGCCAAGCAGTAGCATATTTCATGCACTCAGAATACTGTTAAGATTCGTGTATAAAGTTGCTAAATGCTCATCCTTGATGTTTTTCAAGATTCAGTGTTTTTAACTTGTTAATCCACATAGTTGGACCATTCGAGCCGTCACCTAGAAGAGAAGTTCAATTTAATCTTGAACCTGTTAAATGTCTACAAATTATTGCTGGATAAATAAAATGTCCAGACAGTCAAAACTATTTCTTTGTTGCAACCATTGACAGGTTGTGGTTCAATCAGTCACATAATATTTTGTATTACTAAATTTAAAATTAGAAAAGGTAAGAGAAGAAATCATTACCCAACATGAATTGCTAAACGAAGAAAGAAAATTTCAATAAAAAAGAAATAAAACATGAAATGGAAAGAGAGGTTGCACTGTTGTATAACCATAAAAAACTGAAAAAAAAACTAAAAAGTTGATTTTTGGTCTTTTCTTCTTTTTGAGAAAACTATAAAAGACTGCTTTTTTGAATTTTTAAATGAGAAAACGATAGTCCCATGGGTAGCAAGGTCTACCTCATGTCAATGAATTTGGCAAAAACTAATTTTTGGAAGCCTACAATTGGTGAGGTGATCTCAGAAATTGAGACTTTGAGAGCTAAAAATGGGGAGAAAATTTATTTTGAGAATCAAAGGGAGGAAAAGAGTGAGGGAGAGAAATGGTAATGGACAGCTGCCCACTGGACAGATGTCTTCCTTTTCTATATAATTAGGGTTGTCAGAATTTTACCATTTATGATACAACTCATGATTTTAATCATGAAACCCAAGGGTTTCAATTTGAACCTTGTGTTTGAGTCCTTTTTCTACAAATAATCTTATGTTTTTATTTGAATCCTTATTTGATTCATAAATCTTATGATTTATATGATTCATGTGATTTTAATCAATTCAATTAAGAATCATTTTTATTTTTTATTTTTTACCTTTTCTTTTGTTAGGGCATGGACATGCCCAATACTATTGATTGACAGAACCCTGTGAAGTAGCAACCTAAGTCTTAGGACCCTTCAAAGCAGGTGCCTGAATTCTTAAAAGATTGCGAAGAAAAATGCTGGGAAGACCCTAGTAAGTGAAGCCAAGAACAAGGCAATAGCATGTCGCAGGATGATGCGTGAGGGCTTGGGAAAAACGATCTGTTTGGTACCAAATTTTCTTGTGTGCCACCCATGCCATTATTGCTTGTGGCAGACCACCTCACCAAGGAACAACAATAAACCTCCTGAAAACCTTTCCAGATCTCATCTCTTTGGAGCTAATACCCTTTCTTCTCAGGAGACTTCATCTTCAAACCCTAATTTCCCATCTTCATGATCTCTTTGCAACTTCTCCTATAGGGTCTTCCATCTTTCACTGCACTCTACCGTGAGTTGTAGAGGCACTCATTTTTCAGTTCTCACTCATCAGAGCCTTTAGCTTCCTTGCAGCAGCATCACTCCCAACTTTCAGAACTCCACAGACCACCGCTAGTCCATCACATTACACTTTGTTTATATTAACTTTTGTTAACTGAGACTTCTTTTAAGGCCTTTGTTTGAAAATGTTTTGTTTAGGTTATTTTAGACCTTTTACAAATCATACTGAATTTATCTTGCATGGTATGTAGGTTAAAGAACCATTTTACAAGTGGTAAGCTCTATTGTTTTTGGTACATATATGGTAGACATGAATTAAAAATAGGTATAAGTCACTTTTCCATATGATCTTTATGATTTACAATATGGTTACGATTATAACCTCCTAGGTTATATAATAGTGGCAATATGTGTTTTTATTCCTCGATGTGGACCCTTGATCTTAACAAATGATTCTTCAAATCTAACACTTACAATGAAGTGGGCTGAACCATTTGATCTGGAGGGTTGAACCGTTAAACTGTCACCAGGGTAGAATAATAGTTCGTTCTTTGGTCTGGGTTTAAAAACATTGGCAATGTTGTACATACTAGTTTTGTTATAAGATACCGTGTTACTGATTCTTTGTACAAGGGACTGCACAAAGAATTGTATAAGGACATTACTAATTGCCCCAGAGAACTCTGATTAGAGGGCCATATTCATTTATTTAGATTGCCTCTTATGTGGGATTCATGATTGAGGTTGTCCACATGCCCAATAAGCTAACAAATGAATTGTATAAGGACATCCTGATGTATATTTTGATCTATTTTTCTCCTATTTTCTTAATCATGGTATAGGACCTAATCATTATTTTCTTGACAAGCTTAAACTATTCCATCAATGTTTCTTTATTTTATTTTTTTAGATTGTTTCTGGAGATGCTGATTTACCTAAGAGGGAAGACATTGGAGAAAGGCGGAGGAAGCATGAACTCCGTGTTTTGGCAAAAGCAGGAGTTGATTCTGTGGATGATGATGATCTGAGACCTCAGAAGGCTGAGGAAACTGAACCAATGGATACAGATGTTGAGGAGGATCAAATACAAGAATCGGAAGATGAATTCTATAAGCAAGTGAAGCAGCAACGGTCTGCAAGGCTTTCTGCTAAAGCAGAGTTGTATTCAAGGTTTGTTTTCTACACCCTTGCATGGTATGAACTTGGAAAATTCAGTATGTCAAACTTGTAATTCAAATTTATCTATCCACATTTAGTTCTGGAAAGGTCAGGCATCTAAGTATTATTGCCTCAACTTTGTAATTTCATTATAGCTTTTAAACAACATAAAATGGCTCAAATCTCTTGGATAAATTATTTTCAAGACAAGTTTCTTGATCATATCTTCTTGGGTGTTGATCTAAGAAGAAAGTGAACCTATTAGTTAGCTTTCCCGTACATTTGGTCTCTCAGCTTACTTGTGTCTTTTGATTTGTTGCCTCCTTTGTTACTGCAGAACTCCAACTGTACCTTCGTTGTCAGAAACAGGGGTGGTGGATGGTAAACGACAGATTACATATCAGGTCAGTGAATATCTTCTTTATCTGCTTGCTTAGAACTTCCATTTTTCTATTACATTTAAATCCCATTGGTCCATGTTCCTGACATCAGATGGAGAAAAATAGAGGGCTCACTCGTGCTCGAAAGAAGCTTACCAAGAATCCAAGGAAGAAATACAAGGTAACTTAGAGAATTCAGAATATCAATGGATCAAGCTGCAGATTATGAATCCTCTGCTCTTTCTAATTCTTGTTTCTTTTCGGTCGGTTATCTTGCAGTTGAAGCACCAGAAGGCAGTGATACGAAGAAAAGGGCAGGTGCGGGAGATCAAGAGGCCTAGTGGATCTTATGGTGGGGAAGCCTCTGGAATCAATGCTGGAATCAGTCGTAGCATCAGATTCAAGAACTGATCGACTTAATAGATTCCTTTACGGAGTTGTTCTGGTTTGTCTGTAAACTTTGAGAAAGGTAGAAAGAAAAAGTACYGTCTATTAGCATGGCCCCAAATGAAAATTTTGATTCTTTGTATTTAATGATATTTCAATGAAACTGTCTTCGTTTTCCAATTGTGTATTGAGGTGCAATTATATCGTAATATCGTTGAATCTGTGTATGCAATTCAATTCCGTATCGGTCTTTGCAAGTGGTTCTTTTATAATGAACAGTACATATCATTATTAATTAACTAAATATTAATTTAAATAATTAATAATTAATAACAAAAATACAAAATAGCAATAAATTATTATTAACTAATTAATAATTAACGACAAAATAGTTAATGTAATTAATGGATAAATAAATAATAAAAATGTTAAATAATTGTTATTACAAAATAAAAATTATTAATTGCTTCATAATAATATTAATAAAATAAAATTGCCAGTAAAGTTTAAAATATTATTTCTTCATTAATAGTTARTCAACTAATTGTCAATATTAATTAATTATAAGATGAATTAATRAAATATTCAAAATTAAAAATTAATAGTAAAATATAAAATAATAAAAATATTATTAACTAATTAAATAATTTTTATTAGAGTTGATTTTCTCACTATTTTCCCTTTTGCAACCAAACAATGGAACTTGAAAATTTTCCACCCATTTCCCTTTCTTTCATCCCATCCCGTCCCCTCCTTTTCCATCCCACTAAAATCTTTTCTCAATTCAAAAGCAGCAGTTTAAGAGATAAAAGAAGAAAAAATACACTACCAGCTAAGAATTACACCCAGCCAAGGTTCAAAGTATTGATACGCATTGGCCCATATCGTTTGATACATATCATGCCGATGGCTTATTGATACACCCCTCGGGGGGTTGTATCAGGTCAGTCACTGGTTCAGAGGGTAGCTGGGCCTGAACTTGTTTCAAAAAAAAAAATAAAACTTAAAAAAAAATGTACCGATACAGGCCAATACCCCCTAGATACTTAGAACCTTGCACCCAGCGTGGGGAAGACTTTCTCCAAGCTGCACAATGACAGATATACAAGAAGTCACTTGAAAGATACCATCAACTCAAACCTTTTACAGCAGTCGTAGCATTTTTCTATGATGGGTTTCACGTTCCAGGGTGGTACAGGTTTGTATGAATCAAGGTAAATTAGACTGTAAATTGGTATGGTTTTGTTTGAATCCTCTTTTATCTACCAAGATAAGCAATTGCCTGTACATTAGGATTAATTAGACCTCAACCACTTTTGACCAGGCACATTTCGGTGTGCATTCAAAGTAGAATTCTGTCGCCTTAGTGGTCTACAAGTTTCCACCTTAGAATTTTCTGTTTCAATAGTAATTGACTACAGCAGTCTACGCGTTTCCACCTAAGAATTTTCTGTTTCAATCTTATTTCCTGTCTAAGTAAATGACTAAATTAGTTCCAATCTCCTTGCTTCTCAATAATCAGTTAGACGTTGCTCACGAGCGTGATCTCTAATGAGTCATCTACTTCGTTCACTGCTTTACTCACTTTTTCTGCTCTCAATTTTCTTTGGAAATGGGAAATTTTTAGCCACCGCAAGATGTCTTGATGAACAGAGTTCGTTGCTGCTTCAGTTAAAGGCGAACCTCTCTTTCTCTCTTGGTCTTATTCCTTCGAAGATCTCTTCTTGGGACTCAAACACTGATTGCTGTTCTTGGGAGGGTGTCACCTGCGATGATAATGTCGGCCATGTTATTGGTCTCAACCTCAGCAGTGAATTTATATCCGGTGGAATTGACAATTCGAGCAGCCTCTTCAGTCTCCGGTACCTCCAGAACTTGAACTTGGCTATCAACGCCTTCAATTCCTCTCCGATTCCATCTGGGTTTGATCGGCTTCTCCATTTGACTACTCTCAATCTATCCAATTCTGGTTTCGGTGGCCAAATTCCCATTGAGTTCTCACGGCTCACAAGGTTGGTTTCTCTTGACCTTTCTACCCTATTCGTTGGAGAACTACCTTTGAAACTTGAACAGCCAGGTCTCAAAGMGCTTATCCAGAACCTTTCAGAGTTGAGAACTCTGAGTCTTGATGGAGTAAACATATCTGCACCGGGGAGTTACTGGGCCCAAGCATTATCTTCCTCAGTTCCGAACCTGCAAGTGCTGGGCTTATCTAATTGCCATCTTTCCGGGCCTCTGGATTTTTCTCTTTCAAATCTTCGTTTTCTCTCTGATATCCGTCTTGACTTGAATGATATCTCTGCAGAGGTACCGGAATTCTTTGCAAATTTCACAAATTTAACTTCATTGAGTCTTAGCTCTTGTGGGTTGAGAGGGAAATTTCCCGAGAAGATTTTGCAGCTAAGGACTCTACAGACCCTTGACGTATCAGTCAATCCCAAACTCGGTGGTTCTTTGCCTGAATTTCCAAAGGGTGCATCTTTTAGGATGTTGAGACTCTCAGGAACGAGTTTCACCAGGGAGTTACCGGATTCCATTGGTAATCTCAAATTCTTGACCAGCTTAGAGATTTGGTCGTGCAATTTCTACGGAGCGATCCCAGTTTCGTTGGTTAGACTTACCAAACTAGTTTCGTTGGACCTCTCATCTAACAACTTCAGTGGAACAGTCCCATGGTTGGGGTTGCCTGAGAATCTGGCCGAAATATTCCTTTACAATAATCGTTTAACAGGTTCTATCCATTCTGTTCCTTGGAACAGATTTCTAAAGCTTGAGAATCTTCACTTGCGAAACAATTCACTGACTGGAACAATACCTTCATCTTTGTTTACACTTCCATCACTTAAACAGTTACATCTCGCCCACAACCAATTTGTCGGTCCACTGAGTGAATCATCTAATGCATCTTTGTCCCCATTAGCTGTCCTCGATTTGAGCAGCAATAACCTGGAAGGTCCAATTCCAACATCATTTTTTGAACTCCAGAATCTTGCAACACTTCTACTTTCTTTCAACAACTTCAATGGGACTGTACATCTAGAAAATATTCAAAAGCTAGGGAACCTTTCGTCCCTTGATCTCTCCTACAATAGATTGTCTGTCAATACCAGCGTAAGTGATGCTAGCTTGTCCTCTTTTCCTGAGATTGGTGTACTGAGTTTGGCTTCTTGCAATTTAACAGAATTCCCCAGTTTCCTGAGAATAAACCAACCAATAATAAGATTTTTGGATCTTTCTAACAACAAAATTCATGGGGTAGTACCCAATTGGATTTGGAATGTTGGTAATGGGTTACTTGTTCACTTAAATCTTTCTTGCAACTTCTTGGACCATCTAGAGGAACCATTGCCCAATCCTAATTACTCCAGTGGTTTGGTCACTATCGATCTTCACTCCAACCTGCTTCAAGGGCCACTTCCAATTCTATCATCTTCTGCTGTCTATTTGGATTACTCGAATAACAACTTCACCTCTACCATCCCAGCCAATATCTCTTCTTACCTTTCTTATACCATCTTCTTCTCTGTCTCAAACAATAGACTTCATGGAGAAATACCCACATCAATATGCAATGCTAGCTACCTTCAAGTTCTTGACCTATCCAATAACAACTTGAGCCACATGATTCCGACTTGTCTTGGTAGCATCACTTGGACCCTAAGAGTATTGAACCTAGGGCATAACAACTTCAAGGGAAGTATACCTCAGACATTTCCAGTTGGTTGTGGTCTAAGGACACTTGATCTCAATGGGAATGTGTTAGAAGGGTCAGTTCCTACAACTCTTGGCAACTGCAAAWTGCTAGAGGTTCTGGACCTTGGGAACAATCAAATAAACGATACCTTCCCATTTTGGTTGGAAAGCTTGCTCCAGCTAAGAGTCCTTATTCTACGATCCAACCATTTCCATGGACCCATCAGAAGTACCAAAACTGATCACACCTTCCCAAGCCTACAAATCATTGATCTGTCCTCCAATGATTTTGTGGGCAACTTGTCCTCGGAAATCTTTTTGAGTTGGAAAGCAATGACAGTGGAGGGAGATGAGATCCAATCAGAGCACAAGATAGAGACAGTGAAGTTCAAGTTCCTAGAATTCTCCCAAGTTTACTATCAGGACAGTGACGCTAACAAATAAAGGGCTAGAAATGGAGCTGGTGAAGATTCTAACAATCTTCACTTGCGTTGACTTGTCAAACAACAGATTCCAAGGGGAGATCCCAGTGGTAATAGGGAACCTCACATCACTCCATATTCTCAACTTGTCACACAATGCTCTCATAGGACAAATACCTTCATCCATGGGGAACTTAATACAGCTAGAGTCATTAGACCTCTCACAGAACCAGCTGAGTGGAGAGATGATACCAGGAGACGATCAATTTCTGACGTTTACAGAAGCTTCATTCAAAGGAAATGAGGGATTATGTGGGCTGCCACTGTCAACAAAATGCACTGATGCTAAAGGGAATCCTCTGTCGACATTTCAACACACGGAACCTGAATCTTTTCTTGCAATTGATATGATGTTCATGTGGAATGGACTGATGGTGGGCTTTGGATTGGGAGCTGGAATGGTTATAAGTTTCCTCTTGTTCTCCGTGAAAGATAGGAAATGGTTGTTTTCTCCTCACTTCCTCAGAAGTGATTTTGTTATAACTGTACTCCAAGAAGCACTGTAGGCTGTGAATGTTGCACCTGAGACCACTTTATGCTTAAAGCTGTAACTTTAGCTACAATATTGCTTTAATAGCATCATATGGCAGAACATATTTTTATGCCAAAAATTTTGCATTGTTTTCATGATCATCCCCTTTATTATAAATGTAAGAATTAATTCACTCTTCATGAGAAGCATATTTCATCATTCAAATATTGGACATGCTGGCCATTTATTTTATGTTCTCTTTTTGCGCAAATGGATAATTGAATTGACCATAGCCAGGTAGGATGGCAATTAAACCAAAAACTACATTGTTAAAGCTCTGAGGCATATTTAAAGACACTACTTTTGGAACGTTATTTTYCTTCACTCAAGTGATTGAGTTTGTTGTTAGGTTGCAAGTCAATTTGTTCCCAAGGCTCAGTTTGGAAGGAGTACRAATACAAATATGTATGGTGCAAATACATACAAATTACAAGGTTTTGCACTCTACATATATGTATTTGTACTCCTTCCAAATTGATCGCAAGATACAATAGAGCCTCATGTAAGAAATTACAACTAAATAGCTAGGTAGGACAGCAATTAAACCAAAAACAACAATTGTTGAAGATGTATTGTTAAGAACTTGGATGTGAAGCTCTGGCACATATTTAAAGACACTATTTTTGGAACGTTAGTTTTCCCTCACTCAAGTGATTGAGTTTGCTGTTAGGTTGCAAGTAAATTTGTTCCCGAGGCTCAGTTCGGAAGGAGTACAAATGCAAATATCTAGAGTGCAAAACCTTGTATTTTGTATTATGTTGTATGTATTTGCACCATACATATTTGTATTTGTGCTCCTTCCAAATTGATCCCAAGATACAATAGAGCCTCATATAAGAAATTACAACTAATAAAGTTGAAGAATCTCTAAGGAAACCTCGTGGGAGATAGTAATTTGGATTAAGAGATGAGCATTATGTGATATAAATTGTGTGCATAACGGCTTGACTTGCACCCATTTTATAGATTCTAAAGAGTTACCATGAAAATGTTTCAAGTTTGTTTGAAGATGCTCTTTGTACAGTCACCATTTTGAATCAAGTGATTCTTACAGTTATTTAATAGTTAATAATTGTTAACATTTAAATAATATCCTTTAATCATACCCAATCAAGTAATGACCGTTGGATTAAATCAACAATTATGATTGAGACTCCTAAAAGTGTCCTATGACATCTTTATGCAAGTTTGTGCAAATACCTTTGCAAGGATTACAAAAAGAAAATGTGATTCCAAATTTGCATCTTAGATTCACATGTAAATCCAGATTCTAGACTCGCAAAACACATAGTTCCCTTAAGCAAGTATGTGTGAAATGCAAGTAAATTGCACTTTTAAATCATCTCATTGCACCACACGTGTGTACATGCATGTGTATGTTGCACAGTACCAAGGCTCTATACTCTCCTCTCCATACTGACTGTAAGTAGATTCCTAGTTAAGAACACAAGAGAAGTCTTGTAACTTTTCAATGTGGGACAAGGTATAAGAGAGAGAAAACAAAAGACAAAGTAAGATTTTGGTGGGAAAAATTCAAATTTAGAAAAGCCACTTCTCTAGATTTTACAAGGTGCATGTGTAGATGTGTACAACTATGTAATTAATAACTAAACATCCTTTGAAGTTAATCTGTAAGGAGATTAAATTCCAATAAACATTGATAAAATCATTTTTCAAATTTCACCGATGTGACCTTTAGCATGGTTTCGTGTGAACTTTTCTTCTGAACCCTTTGCTCTTAAACTTCCAAATATGAAAGGCCCCATCTTGATAAATTTTTTGGCTTTTGAGCTTTAGAATGTGCAAAACAAAATTGAAGCAATAAGTGTTTTGTGGGTGCGCTTTATTAAAAACATTATGACCTGAACCCAAAACATTTGTTGGGGTTGTATGACTTGTGCCATGCAACACAAATCTAGAGGCTGCTGTCAACTTCTCTGGGGCCTTTAATCCATGTGGAGGAAGGAGTTTCTGTAGGAAGCTTGGCTCCAARGTCTTCTATCTTTTTCTCTTCACCCTAGGAGGAGTAAAGCCTTGGATTTAGGGAGGTCTTGGAGAGTTGGTGTAAGGTGGYAGGTAGTCTTTCTTTAATGTTGTTAGTTGAGGGGTATTTATAATGATTATTTGGGGGGCCCACCTTATCAGACATTTTGGGTTATCCATCATATGGTTTCCCATCGGAGGTCTCAGATCTTACCGAAGAGGGTATATCACTTATTTTCATGAATCCACGGGTCGTATTGTGTAGATACGTTGTACCTTGGGGGTAGTGACATATAGCTACTTTGAATTTTCAATTGCAACACATACATTATTCTAAACTTTTAAAAATAGACACTTGCGTCGATCCTGTAATTAAAATTATATAATGTCAAAAATACCCTTYTCATGTATTTTTGAGATCATTCTAAGAAGTAAAATCGTCATCAAAGAATGTCGTTATTAAAACAAAAAAAAAAAAGAATATGTTATTTGCTATCTATTTGAGAATGTCGTTCTAGGGAGACAGTTCAATTACTTGAAAATGATCTCAAAAGTACATAACAAAGGTATTTTTTGAATTGTATAATGCTTAATTGACGGAATACTAACGGATGGACCTAAGTGTCTATTTTTGAGAGTTTAGGCTTTAGGGTATTCAAGTGTTGCAATTGAAAGTTCAAGATACCTATTGTCACTACCCCCAAAGTACAAGGTACCTATCTATAATTTACCAAAAAATTTGCTTTGTGCCCGGGCTTTTAACCTCTTAGCTAATGTGGAGGTTGCATGTTGTGAAAGAGCTGCCTTCCCTTCCTCAAGACCTTATCCCTATCATAACCAGGTCCTAATGATGACTCCAAAAGATAGTTAAACCATGGTTTTTAAAACCGGATCGGACCAGACGATTAGACCGGAAAAACTGGGAACTGGTCAGGTGACCGATTCTGTTTTACCTTAGAACTGTTATTTCCCCAACAACCGTTGATTGAGTCAGCAAACCGCTGATTAGGCAATCGAACTGTTTGAACCGTTCAATGGTTTGGCTGGTTTGTATTTATTTAATTTTTTAATTTTTTAATTTTTTGTCAAAATGGGCCGTTCAACCCAAGAACCAGACCCCTTACGGGTTCGTTGTCAGGTTCAATTTTAAAAACCTTGATTTAAACCACTTGTTTCCACTGTCAAAATGTCAACTTGTTTGTCCTTTTGAGGTGTGACTATTAGGATGGTGTCATCACTCATACACCTATTCTGCCTTTTCCAAATGTTGGGGCTCACTTCGAAAATACCCAATGTTGCACGTGAAACCATGTGGTCTATAAAGTGGTCATGTGGCTTCTATTCGTCAATTGATCTCTGTGTCTATAAAAACTTTCTTGACATTTATCCCCGTGACAGATGCATCTTGTGAATGTAAAAAGACACTATTAGGGGTGAAACTTGGGCGGGCCCAGCCTGAGCCCGAATCGGCCCATCCCAAAATTTTATGTGTTAGGCTTGGATTTTCGGTCTTTAAGTTGGGTTTGGGCTTAAAAAGTTGTACTTTATATTTTTTGGGTTGGTCTCGGTCCTAGCCTTTAGGTAGCCCAAACCTGGCCTAATTATACACATTCATACATATATATATATAAATTTTGCATCCCTTATATACATAAACTAGCGGAGGGAGCCCTGCGTTGTAGGGGCTCGCTCATAAACTATCAGGCTCTAGCTTGATTCGAATTAGAGACATGAGCTTGAGCTCAGCTCGAGCCAAAATCTTGGAAGTTCGAGCTCAGCTACCTTTGATTGTAGGTCTCTCAAGCAGCCAAGGTTTCGAGCCGAGGTCTCCCTCAATTGGCAAGGTGTCATACCGAGGTCTCCTTCAGCTGTTGAAGTGTCGAGCTGAGGCCTCCCTTAGATGACAAGGTGCCGAGCTGAGGTCTCCCTAAGTTGTTGAGGTGCTGAGCCGAGGTGACACCCTATGTACACACTCGATTAAGCTTGTGAGACCTTTGATTGCAAGTTTCTCCAACAACCGAGGTGTCAAGCCAATGTCTTCCTCAACTGCTAAAATGTCGAGTTGAGGTTTCCCTAACAGGCAAGGTGTCGGGCTGAGGTTTCCCTTAGTTGACGAGGTGCCGAATTGAGGTCTCCCTCAGTTGTCGAGGTACTAAGCTGAGGTCTCCCTTAGTGGTTGAGGTGTTGTCTAGCTTGGTCGAGATGTCGTCTAGCTCAAACTAAATTTGAATTAGAACTTGAGCTCGAACTCAACTACCTTTGGTTGCAGGTCCCCTAACAGCCAAGATGCCGAGCTGAGGTCTCCCTTAGTTGGAGAGAGAGTGGCATTCTTGTAATTTATAAGGGGATAGAGAAAGAGAGATGGCAAGAGAGAGAATACCATTCTTGTAATCTATAAGGAGAGACAATTGATAGGAGAAAGTGGCATTCTTGTAATTTGTAAGAAAAAAGAGAGAGTTGGTAGGAGAGAATGGCATTCTTGTAATTTGTAAGGAAAAAAAAGAAAGAGAGATAGTGTGT